TGTACATGCTCTGGTCGAGCCGGATTTGTTAGGTAGAATTGGGGTCATGATAGTGGGGGAGAGGAAACATTTTTAAAAGAAACACTTTCTCAATCTGAGCAAATGGCTTGGGGGTCACATCTGCCCTCCACTGGCTCCACAAAGCAGAAGAATCCAACTCCATCCAGTCCAGAGACAGAGGCCAGCCAGGCTTCCATCTTCATTTATCTTTACCCTGTCCTAGCGCCAAGTGTCTCTCCCACAGCACTCTACTTCTTTGCTGGGCTGATGAGCCATTTAAATGGCCACACCAAACAGATAGTACTCACGATTATGCAGTTCATTTGGGGAACTTATTCTGTTACTACAAGTTAGGATCAGAAAACATTAAGGATCCAGTGCTCTTTTCCATAGCAGCCCCCCTCCTCAGCCATGCCAGCAACCAGGCATGCCTCTGTCTAGTCTTTAGCATCTCGCCCACATAGTTCCCTGGCTTCTGCCTTCTTCTGTAGGCTGGGAATCTCACTGCTATGCCTCATTGTCTTGATGCTGCTCCTTGGCTCTGCCTAATGGTCTTGGTGCTATGGTCTCGGGTGTCTCTGCTACCTCTGTCACTTCTTGCACGGGCTCCACTGGTGGCTCTTCTTCCTTGATGCTTGTGGGATTCCTCTTCCGGCTTCTGAGACAGTTCACTCTTGTATCCAGTGGCACAGCAACACTGACCAATCCCTCTATTAGCGTTTCACACACCCTATTGCAATGTTACAAAGTCATGGATAGACGAGCCATGTGTAAATAAGTTCCCATGTCACTACACGATCAAATTGTTGTACTCACTGTTTCAAAGCCTCGATGAGGGTGGTCTGGAAAGCCACCTGGTCTACCGCCTTTAAATTCGTCAAACAGCAAAAATGGATCCAGATTTTTTAACTGAAAAAAAAAATAAAATTCAGCAGCTTAGACATGACATTTATGTCACACATGTGATGGGGGGTGGCCCCACATGACAAAAGAGAACTGCCCCATGCGGTTCCCTTGGCTGTAATTTTTACAAAAGCAGATCACCTGGCCTCTCTCCACTGGGTGGATTCAAACTGCCAATCTTTGAGTTAGCAGCCAAGTGCTTAACCACTGTACCACCAGGGCTCACTACTTAAAGCCATCATCACAAGCACATCTAGCAAACCTCATGGGAAACTACATAATCAGCACCTTGTGCAATGAAAATTTCTTTTAGAAAAGAGTTCCTTACAGAGAGAGAGAGAGAGAAGAGAGAGGGAGTTCCACTAATTATATCAGGAATTGGACATTTTATGAGCAGCACCACGTCTGGGCAAACATTGCATTCATCATCTGAGATCTCAAAAGCTAAACACAAACAAGACACAGTCTGTATCCTAAACAAACCGCCCCTAGCCTCATGAGGAACAGACTGGAAAATGAACAATTACAAGCTGAAGCTACATGCTCGGGAGAAAGATAACTTAGCATAGACAGGGTCAAGGAAAGCTGTCGTGCGAAGGTGTCCCTTCAGTTGGGTCTTGAATTACATGCAGGAGTTAATCAAGAAGAAGAGAGAGATTGGAGAGGGAAAGATCACCCAAACAACTGGGCCTGTTTGAAGAACTTCCAAGAAGCTCCTCCAAAGGACATCGTTGCTGATGTCAGATGGAACTCAGCTGAAAGGAAAAATACTAGAAAGATGTTTATGTTTTAATGACTATACAAAGGCATTCGGCTGTGTGGCTCAAAACAAACGGATAGCACAGCAAAGAATGAGAAGTTCAGAACACTTCATTGTGCTCACATAGAACCTGCACGTGCAGCTGTCAGACCAGAACAAGGGGTATACTGCATGGTTTAAAATCAGGAAGGGTGTGGGTCAGGGTTGTATTCTTCCCCCAAACTTGTTCAATCGGTATGCTGAGCAAATCATCCGAGAAGCTGGGCTGTGTGAAGAAAAGCACAGCACCAGGATTGGAAGAAGGCTCAGTAACAACCTGCTGTGTGTAGCTGATGCAACCTGGGTTGCCTAAAGCGAAGGGGACTAGAAGTACTTATTGGTTGATATATCCCAAACCATGGTCATCAATATGGATTACACTTCCACATTCAGAAACCCCCAATCCTCCCAACTGGCTCCATTAGCAACATCATGATCAACAGAGGGAAGACGGAGGTTATCAACGATTTCATTTTACTTGTATCCGTAATCAACACCCATGGAAGCAGAAGTCAAACAATGAAACGACACAGGGCATTGGGCAAATGTGCTGTAAAAGATCTTTCTCTGAAGTGTTACAACACAAAGATATTAGTAGTTTAGGTGTACATGGCATTTCCAATCGCCTCATCTGCATGTGAAAGCTGCACTATGCATAAGGAAGGTTGGAGAGGAATCGCTGCATTTGAATTACGGTGTTGGTGAAGAATATTGGAAGCGCCATGCTCTGCCAGGGGAACACATTTGTCTTAGAAGAAGTACAGCCAGAATGCTCCTTAGAATGGAGGATAGCAAGATATCATCGCACATACTTAGGACATGTTATCAGGAGGGCCCCATCCTTGAAGAACACGAGACTTGGTTAAGTAAAGAATCAGCTAAAAAGAGGAAGACCCTCAATGAGATGGGTTAACACAGTGTCTCCCACAATAGGCTCAAAGATAGGAATGATTTTGAGGATGGCACAAGACCTGGCGGTGCTTTGTTCTGTTTTGTATCGAAACCTAACAACAACAATATCAAAGCTACTACTACCACTGTATATACTCGTGTACAAGCCGAGCTTTTCAGCACATTTTTAATGCAGTTTTTGTGCCCCGGCTGATATTCGGGTCAGTTTATACTCGAGTCTATACGGTATATTGGGACAAATGGTACATATGGGATTATGATAAAGGACAGATGTCAAATCTTGAAAGAGTTAGATTTTATCCTGAAATTAAAGAGTGTTATTCGGGGGTGGAGAGGATCAAATTTAGAAAGACCACTGTGGAAGATGGGCTTGGGGGGAAAAGAGATCGAGAGCAAAGGGTCCAATGAGAAGGCTAGCAGTCCATGCCAGAACAAAGGCTAGGGCTAAAAGAAGGGCATCAGTCATAGAGAATGGCAGAGACAAAAAGGAGAGTCCATGTTTCTGGTGAGGGAGCCTGCCTAGGGCCATTCATGTGAAAAGGGAATGCAACAGAAGAAGCCTTTTCTGTGCTCTTTAAAGTGGATTCCAACTCAGAATGACAGTGTGTATAAGGCCAAGGAGAACACAGGGCTCCCAGGGCTGTAATTTCTTCAAAGGCAGACCGTCACAGCGGTCTCCTGTGGAGTGACTGGTGGATTCGAGTCCCTGACTTTTCAGTTAGCAACCGAACACTGAAACCATTGTGCCCCTAGCACAATACCCGACGCAGCACCTTGAAATCGTCCTAGTGATTTCATTTTAAATCCTGTTGATTGGGGGATAGATACATACATATGATCTCTATAAATAGAACTATTCATAGTTGTGGTTCCTTCTATTGTGCAAAGCTAGAAGATACTGGAGGATACAAATCAAGCTGAAAAAGAGAAGTAGAAACAGACCTGTTATCACCACATCTTTACAAGTGTGGCGGCTATTCTTGGCCATTTCTTCTTCTGTGTTTTAGAAAAGTTATCAAGTCCTATGAGCAAAACTGGGGGAATCTTGAGTGGAATGGCTTGGAATCTATAGACCAACGTGGGAAGAACTAACACTTACACAAGTCTCCAGTCTTCCCATTCATCAACATGCGTATCTTCACGCACTCACTGCACGGAGTCAATTCTGATTCACAGTGACCCGATAAGACGGAGTAGAGGTGCCCCTTTGGGTTTTCGAGCCTGTAAATCTTATGGACGCAGACTGTCACATCTTTCTCCCACAGAATGATGGGTGAGTTCGAACTCCTGACCTTACAGTTAGCGGCCCAACTCATGACCATGTTTCATTATCTTCTCCAGCAGGGCTTTGCTCCTTTCATTTTCTTTCTAGCCAGCTCAACCGTTTTTTAAGGGTCTCATAAACAGTGCTTTAAAAATGTTCTTTTGGCTCCGTGGGCCACTGGGGATTAGAAAGGTGTGGCTGGCAAGGTGTGACTTGCATAATTCGCTTGTGGACATGCACATCGCCAATGTAGCCGACTGCTCCTGCCCCATAAAAAACACCAAACAAACAAAAAAAAAAACCCAAAACTCACGGCCGTGGAGTCCATGCTGACTCTCAGCGACTCGATAGGACAGGGTAGAACTGCCCTGAGTTTCTGTCACTGTAACTGGGAACAGAAAGTGCCATCCTTCTCCTACAGAGCAGTGATGCCCGGGTCATAAGCAGCCCCTCGCATAACCCCTCCGCCCCCAGCTCCTGCTGCCCTGCTGCACAGTTCTTGTGGTTTTGCTGGGCTTCGCTGGGCTCGGCTGGTCTCAACATGTCTCCTCACTTGGGAACTCAATCTGGGACTTGCTGTTCTCATGGGCAAGCACCAAAACAAAGGCAAGCCAAGCCAAGCCCATCGTGGACTCCCATGGACAGGCCCCACTGGTTAAAGTGCATGACATGGCCACGCCCGCAGTCAGGGCAGAGGGCACTTCAGTCCTCCTGATAGGACTCATGGGGAGTGCACCTTGAATGGGTGTGGGCATGTAATCATATTGCAGGAAGGGAGGGAGTATTGGGGCGTGATCCTTCCACATCAGTCAACAAAGGAAAACCTCAAACCAAACCTCTTGCCTGGGAGTTGATTCTGACCCGTGGTAACAGGTTGTAGGTCTTCATTTCCAATCCTTATCCTTTTTCTTTCCTGTTTGCAAAGTAGGTCCCCGGCCACAATTTTGAGGAGGAAGCTGCTAGGGCACATTCCGATCTTGTCACCAATGATCAGACTGTTTAATGTTGATTTCTGTGTAGATTCCCTTTACCAGGTTACGGAATTTTATTTCTACTCCTAGTTTGCAAAGGTTCTTTTTTACAGACATAAATGGTTGCTGGATTTTATTGAATGTTTTATTTTTTTTACTACATCCATTGAGATACTTGTATGCTTTTTTTCTTTCAAATCTCTTGTTGGTAAATTACATAAGTGGATTTTTTTCCCCTAGCATGGCACCAAATCTGCTCTCCTAATAATAGCAACAATGAGCTTAAAGAAGACAGGGAAATGGAACGGGGCTGGGGAAAAGATAGGGTGTGACTGCACATACTTCCATATATTTTTGTGTTGTCGTGGAATAATAGATAACTTGCAGGATTATAAAGATAGGAAACAATGACAGCATAGCACCTGGCCTGTAGGTGCTGCATACATGGGTCATACCTGCTACATGACACCTGCCTTATATACCTCTGGAGAAGTCCTTGTGGCACAGATGTTGGGCTGCTAACCACAAGGTTAGTGGTTCAAACCATCTAGCCACACCTTGGGTAAAAGATGAGGCTGTCTACTCCTGTAAAGATTCATAGTCTCAGAAACCCAAAAGAGAGTAGTTCTATTCTATTTTATAGGATCAATAAGAGTTGGAATCCACCTGAAGGCAAACAAAAAAAAATACCAAACTTACTGTAATTGAGCCAATACTGACATATCCATCTTATAGGACAGGAGAGAACCAGCCCTTTCCATTTTCCAGACTGTAGCCTGGAAATCTTTACGGGAGGAGCAGGCAGCCTCCTCTTTCTTTCAACGAGCCTCTGGTAGAGTCAAACTGTTGACCTTGCGGTTAGCAGCCCAATGCATAGCCCACTACATCACTGGGGCTCCTAAAAGTTCCTAATATTTTCTAAGAGTTCAGCCAACATTCAACAACACATTAAATAAACATGTGTTAGCTAAAGAGAAGATCTGATTTCTATGAGAAGCCGGGTTTTCTAAAGTGTTTTCTTTCCTTTTCCTTCACATTCAACTGATCATCTCTTTTTTGG